TTGGTGTTTGTTTTTATATTGAAGTACATTTGTCAATCAACAGTCTAAACACAAAAGTTCCCGTTTTCTGTTGATCCCAACTGTCCCAGAGCGTCGATAAGGGGAAATAATAACAAAGCTTCTGGGTAAAATACATTGTTGATTGTTGGCCCTTCCAGAAACTACACAAAAGTGGGTCATATTTCTTGAGTCCTAGTTGTATGCAGGGGCGACTGCCTCGAGATAACAGTGGGGTCTCCCACCCCTGTCTTAAACGTTTTATAAGCGGGAGGGGAGTCTAGGGGCTTAAACCTTGTTTAGGAGGATAATAATAATCTCAGGGTTTTCTCGTTCATAAAGGAAAAGGTGCCGATACTAACTACAAAGTGTCTATTACAGTGGTGTTTAATAAAAATATTACCCGAAAACAAATTACCGGAAGAAAAAGCTGTTGTTATTATTAATTAATTAATTAAAGGGGCGCCGAATAAAATGGTACCCAAAACAAAGGTCCTAGTTCTGTGTACCGTTGCGTACCACACACACACAAACTTTGATGATAAGCACGATCATGATGATCACTATGATGATGATGATGATGATAATGATGATGATGATGATGACGATGATGATGACGATGATGATGATGATGACGATAATGATGATGCCGATGATGATGATGACGATGATGATGATGATGATGACGATGATGATAATGATGATGATGATTATAATGAACACCATGATGATGATGATGATGATGATGATGACGATGATGATGATGATGATGATGATAATGAACACCATGATGATGATGACGATGATGATGATGATGATGATGATGATGATGATGATGATAATGAACACCATGATGATGATGACGATGATGATGATGATAATGAACACCATGATGATGATGGCGATGATGATGATGATGATGATGATGAACACCATGATGATGACGATGATGATGATGATAATGAACACTATGATGATGATGATGATGATGACGATGATGATGATGATGATGATGATAATGAACACCATGATGATGATGACGATGATGATAAAGATGATGATGATGATGATGATGATGATGATGATGATGATAATGAACACCATGATGCTGATGACGATGATGATGATAATGATAATGAACACCATGATGATGATGACGATGATGATGATGATGATGATGATAATGAACACCATGATGACGATGATGATGATGATGATGAACACCATGTTGATGATGAAGATGATGATGTCGATGATGATGATGAACACTATGATGATGACGATGATGATGTCGATGATGATGGTGATGATAATGAACACCATGATGATGATGACGATGATGATGTCGATGATGATGACGTGCTATATGGCAAATCATGTATTCGAAAAAAAAAAAAATCAGAAATGTAAAATCCAAAACCTTTCAAGAGGATTTCTGTATAGCCTAAGGAGTAAGGGAGCCCTTTAAGCTAAGGAAAATGTAAGTAATGGATCTTTTGCACACCTTCAGTTGCACTGGGCAAATAGGGCTAGACCTAAATTTCATAGACCAATCGTCACTTGGTGGTTGATGTGGTCAGCATTACGCCGGCAGCCTTTACTTTCCAAGACTCCATCTGGTACCCACTCAAGGCTGAGTCGACTTGGCAGTCAAAGTCATTTTTTTAAAAGTCTAGTACCGTCAAACCCGAACCCACCACCTTCTGATTGGGTGCACTAAAGGAACATGCGCCCACAAGTTCCCGCGCGCCCAAGTACTGGCCCCAATTTTCAGCGCCCCAAATGCTGTCGTTCCCAAGTTCTGGCGCCTATGCCGGTATGTGTCTGTGTGTATCTGTGTGTCGGAGTGTTTGTCTTCACCATAAAGAGAGAGGACTCTCTGACAACTGGTGTAGACCCGCACGCGCCGCAGAGTCGAGCAAGGTGTCTGGCCCAGGGATAATCCACATGGAATCCTAGAGGTAACGGCTTTTTCTTATATCTTTATAGTGAAGAGTTTCACCATCTATCTATCTATCTATCTATCTATCTATCTATCTATCTATCTATCTATCTATCTATCTATCTATCTATCTATCTATCTATCTATCTATCTATCTATCTATCTATCTATCTATCTATCTATCTATCTATCTATCTATCTATCTATCTATCTATCTATCTATCTATCTATCTATCTATCTATCTATCTATCTATCTATCTATCTATCTATCTATCTATCTATCTATCTATCTATCTATCTATCTATCTATCTATCTATCTATCTATCTATCTATCTATCTATCTATCTATCTATCTATCTATCTATCTATCTATCTATCTATCTATCTATCTATCGATCGATCGATCGATCGATCGATCGATCGATCGATCGATCGTCCGTCCGTCCGTCCGTCCGTCCGTCCGTCCGTCCGTCCGTCCGTCCGTCCGTCCGTCCGTCCGTCCGTCCGTCCGTCCGTCCGTCCGTCCGTCCGTCCGTCCGTCCGTCTGTCTGTCTGTCTGTCTGTCTGTCTGTCTGTCTGTCTGTCTGTCTGTCTGTCTGTCTGTCTGTCTGTCTGTCTGTCTGTCTGTCCGTCTGTCTGTCTGTTCGTCCGTCCGTCTACTGCGTGCTTATCTGCCTGCCTGCCTGCCTGCCTGTCTAACTGTCTATTCGCTCATCCGCCTGTCTGTCTATCTATATATCTTTCTGTACACCTACTTACCTTCCTGTCTTCCTGTCTGTCTGACTGCCTGCCTGCCTGTTTGCCTGTCCATGTGTCTGCTAATCTACAGGTTTTCCATCTAACTGTAACCTTGTGTGTGTGTGTGTGTGTGTGTGTGTGTGTGTGTTAAGTAACAATTGAGTAACATGAGGCAACCAGGGCCCTATTGTGGGGGAAAACTAGGATAAGCCCACTGCCACTCCAACAAGCACGTAGTGAGAATCGACTACTTGAAAGCTTCCTTCTAAGTCCAAGTGCCTCTGCCCGAGCGGCAAGGAACAATCAGCTGCACACTAATAAGCCAGTAAAACGGATAAACACGAAAATCTCAGGCCCTGGTACAGAGCTAAAGTTCAAATGGACGAACAACCAGGATTTCAGTAGGAGCTTACAACCGGTGAACAAAGAAGAGGAAGAAGAAGAAGAAGAAGAAGACAATAGTAGTAGTAGTAGTAGTAGTAGTAGTAGTAGTAGTAGTAGCAGCAGCAGCAGCAGCAGCAGCAGCAGCAGTAGTAGTAGTAGCGGTAGCAGCAGCAGCAGTAGTAGTAGTAGCAGCAGCAGCAGTAATAGTAGTAGTAGCAGCAGTAGTAGTAGTAGCAGCAGCAGCAGCAGCAGTAGTAGTAGCAGCAGCAGCAGCAGCAGTAGTAGTAGTAGTAGCAGTAGCAGCAGCAGTAGTGGTAGTAGTAGCAGCAGTAGTAACAATCAGAAATACGTTGTTGTTTGCTTTTAAATATGTATTATTCTTCTTAGTAAAAATATTATTTAAAAAAAAAAAGAAAAATAGAACACAATGACAAAAGACAATAATTTATTCAAACGCCTTAAAGGTTCAGAACTTCACTGATATCATAGCCGTGGAAGTTTCCTATCAGATCAAGTGGTAATTCATTCTCTTCTGATTTGGTTGCAGGAATCCTTGTCCATTGCACATAGTCTGTCTGAACGTTGACTGCAGAGAGTGGCCACAAAACCATCGGCCAGGTGGCACCATGGAAGAAAACGGCAAAGAAGATTTGACCGATAACAAAAAACTGACGTCGCAGTTTGACCAAGAGGTGTCCAAAGCTTTCCTGTCTTCACCTGAGAAATCTGCTAATGTAAGGATTTGTTTGTATGTTCTTTTTAATGTCGGCACTTTTCTGTCTGTACAGACTGAGCTATACTATTTGAAAGTGTTTATGGGACGATCGTGAAGGGATGTGGTTGGGTCTTGGCCGGGTTCCTTAAGTTGCCGGAACTCACCACATAGTGTCTAAAATGGTTTTGGGTTATAAGTTAAGAACAGACATCATAGCATTTGAGACGTTCCATAAGTTCTGTCCTTATCTTCAGCAGCAAGCCCAAATTTCTAATTTTGATACTTACAGTAACAAGTCTAATTCTATATCCGTCTCGCCCCTGCTGTGAGTGTCGACAGCTGGCCAGAATCCCTGGTCACTCCCTGATGCACCGTTCTTTCAAGACAGTGAAGATCTATTGGTGCTCCCGCAATGTTTACTCCTTTCCGAATGCCCCTTAGAATATCTAGCTTGTCACGCCTCAGTTTACGACAAACTGGTTCAGAACCAGCTGACCAATCTGCCTCTTCATTTCCCAACACGCTGGCATCACCTTGAGAAAATATTCAAAGGCTGGACCTCTGAAGCGATGCTTGACATTCTGCATGGAGCATACCTGTGCCCACCTTTGTCAACATGCTCTATCAAACAGTGGCGGTACTGTGTACCAACGGCGTCTGTGGCTTAGGCGTTGTAAACCCTCTGTGTAATGCCGAGGTGCCAGGTTCGATCCCAGCTGCGGGCCTTGCGTTGGTTTCGACAGTGGTATCGAGAAGCCGACTGTCCAGAAAGCAATGGCAAACTATTGGACGTAAAATTGCCTTAAAAAAAACCACAATAGCAAAAAATGGTGGGGTTGGTTCTGCAACGTCCTGTAAAATATACGCAGCTAACTAACTGTGTACCAAGACACACACACACACACACACACACACACACACACAAACCTTTGGTTTTAGTTGATAGTCGAGGCTCAAACACCACTGCCGAAGGGTCACACCATAATCGCACCACAACAGCCCCGTCCCGTGCCAGTGGACATCACACAAAATGCCTTCCATTGTCCCGTTTGAAAACTAGTGAAAAACATGTCAGCTCTAGTCTTGACCACATGTTGCACGTGCCTAAATACTGACCAGACTACCAGCAAACCCAGATCTTCATCATTTCTCGTTCTCTCACACTTTAAGAATGTCCCGTTGATTCTGCAGGGCGTGGAGATCACCCTAGAACAACTTGCAGCCAGCAAGCAAAGCTGCGACGAGAACTGGTCAGACACCGATGACGAGGATGACCAGGAGAAGAAGAAGACCAACCTGGTGTCAAAGGTGGTCATCACACTTCAGGAGCATGTCAAGTTCTTCTACAGGAAGTTGTCCACCGTTACGAAAGGTCTCCTCATTCCCGTCATCTTGCTCATTGGTTACTTCGTGTACTTCATCTTGGCAATGGTCTACGAGTAAGTTGATGTAGGCACATCGTTAGGTTTAGTACATGAGTGAGTAAATTGATGTAGCCACCTCTTTAGGTTTAGTACATGAGTAAGTGCATGTAAGCCACATCTTTACGTTAAGTACACGAGTAAGATCTTGTAGCCACTTCGTTAGGTTTAGTAAATGAATAAGATGATGAAGCCACATCGTTAGGTTTAGTACATGAGTAAGTTGATGTAGCGAACTCTTTAGTTTTAATTACATGAGTAAGTTGATTTAGCCACATCGTTAGATTTAGTACATGAGTAAGTTGATTTAGCCACATCGTTAGATTTAGTACATGAGTAAGTTGATTTAGCCACATCGTTAGATTTAGTACATGAGTAAGTTGATGAAGCTACCTTTTTGTGAACCCCAACAATCATCTGAAAAGTCTTAACTCAAAACCTCAGAGCATGCTCTCTATGTTTCTTTTCCCTTTTTTTGACCCAGACGGGACTCAATATGTAGCATGACTGATGTCGAACGCAGAAGAAGAAGAAGAAGAATTTCCCTTTTCCAAGTTTCTAAACCATAGATGAGAATTGCCCTAAGGCATGTTTTCTATCGCCTGAGTTTAGTTTTAGTGCTGTAGACATTTGATCTCCAGCCACTTTGAAGTTTATTGTAAGCAGCATTTGCGTTTGCAATTCTCTGTTTGATTTCAACCACTACATTTCCATCCGAGGGAATATTGATTCCTGGGTAAGTCAAGTCAGTTACTGTTTCCAAACCCACAGTATCGTTAGATTTAGTACACGAGCAATTGTATGTATCCACCAGGCGATATTTAGTATATACGTGTATGTCAGTTGATGTACTTATTGTAAGGTTAATAAACTAGGAAAATTGTGTAGCCAATGAATGAATGAATGAATGAATGAATGAATGAATGAAGAATTGACATTGCCGCACTCGGGACATTTACACAGGTGCTCCGTCCCCTCCTTCAGTAGCCAAAGAGTGGCCTTGCTAATAGTACCAGCTGCAACCTGACTAAAAGTCCATCTATTTTTTCCCCCTCAGTGTTCAATATCTCCCAGAACCTTTACTCACCCCCCTTTAATGAGTTTTTCAGTGTATCGATTCTCTGTTTGATTGCACTATCTATTTGATCCTAGAGAACCTTCAGCATATCTACTTTATCACAAAATAGCTCACCGCCCAGAGGAGCGGCAACAGCTGATTTGTCAGCATTCTCATTACCTTGTTACCATCTGGGCACTGGACGTCACTTTGTGAGATTTAGTGTATGAGTAAATTGATGTTTCGTGTATTAGTAAATTAATATAGATCCTCTGGGAGGTTAAGAGTATGAGTAACTTGATGAAACCCTCTAGTGACGTTTAGCATATGAGAAAACTGACCAAGTCACCTTGCCAGTTTTAGTATATGAAATCTAAGTAGTTAGGTTGATATTCCTGTATACTGATTTAGTTTATGAGTGAACAGAGACATAGTGACAATTATTTTATGAGTAAGTTGATGTAGCCACTCGTAAGGTTTATTTTATGAGTAAGTTGATGTAGCCACTTCGTGAGATTTTTTAATGAGTAAGTTGAAGTAGCCACTCGTAAGGTTTATTTTATGTGTAAATTGATGTAGCCACTTTGTGAGGTTTATTTTCTGAGTACGTTGATGAGGCCATTTTTCGAGGTTTGTTACAATAATGAAAGACATGTTAAAGCAATGTGGATTGGATAACCACTTGGTTCCAATGTGTCTTATCTCTGGCACTGCCACAGTCGAAATAACAACATAAATGCTCAAACTAGAATCGTGGACTAAACGAAATAATGTTTAAATGAATGAAAGAATAAGTAGCCTTTTTTTAAGGTGGACAGATGGGTTTGTTACATAATGAAAAAAAAAAAGAATGAATTAATTAATGAACGAACGAATGAATCAATGCATGAATGAATGTGTAGACATTTTTAAAGACAGACAGATCGGTAAGACAATGAATTTGAATCTGAATGAAAATACTTATATCTTCGGACCGATAGACTGAAAAACAAAAGTTAAATGACGAAATATATGACTGAACAGAAAGTAAAATCAGTTTCACAATTAGTGTCTTAGTTGTGTCTTACCGACATGGCTATAGGATATGTCTCTCTCTTGTTGTACCCCACCAGGACATCACACAAGCGATAAACACCCGGTGACACAAAGTGCCACCATGTGGATGAGAATCACCAGTGGAGAGATCCTACAAACCCCTTTCAGCCGTTAGGCTACACTTATGGTCCGGCTTTATTCGGTGCCAAATAACGAAAAATTTCACCCCACTTGGGGACGACGATAACTATGGGATAGTAGTAGTAGTACACTTCACCCCACCAGGAGTCACACAAGCGATAAACACCCGATGACACAAAGTGCCACTATGTGGATGAGGATTACCCGTGAAGAGGTCCCAAATACCGCATTCAGCCGTTACTCCATATTTAATGGCCAGGCTATATTGCGGCCCCTGGCAAGAGCCAGAGTAGGGCTTCAAATAACGAAAATTTCATCCCACAAAGAAATGACTTATATGGGATATTATCTCTCTATCTTCTTTTACCCCACCAGGACATCACACTAGCAATAAACACCTAATGACACAAAGTGCCACCATGTGGATGAGGAACACCGTGGAGAGGTCCCAGAAACCGCGTTCAGACATTAGGCAAAATTTATGGTCGGGCTATATTGCGGCCTCTGGTAAGAGCCAGAGTTTGGCTTCAAATAATGAAAAATTGCATCATAAAAAGGGATGACGAAATTAGTAGACAATATATGTGATGGATGTTGAATGAATGAATGAATTTCTACCCCACCAGGACATCACACAAGCGATAAACACCCGATGACACAAAGTGCCACCATGCGGATGAGGGTCGCCGTGGAGAGGTCCCAGAAACCGCGTTCAGACATTTGGCCATATTTATGGCCTGCCTATATTGCGGCCCCTGGCAAAAGCCAGAGTGGGGCTTCAAATAACGAAAAATTACGTCCTGAAAAGGACGTATGAGTAATGATGGATGTTTGTGAATTATTACCTGTGGAGAGTGAAAGCTGTGGTTGAAATTATTGACACAAAACAATAGACAAGACACTCAGACATTATTGCCCAAGTGTACAAGTGAACCGTTGCATATGAATTTTATTTCTGTCAGGTTTGGGAGTGAGTCCTCTGTACGTCTGTTAGCGTGTACCCTCCTTGGGTTGCTCATCGCCACAAGAAGCTACGTCTCTCGGGCCGTTGTGTGGGCCGTGAGGAAACTGTACGGGGCTGACAGGTTGTCTCCCCTTCACAAACACAGACTTGGGATCATACGCTTCTTTACCAGATGGTAAGTCAGGGAGGAAGTAAGAGAGACAGACAGACAGACAGACGGACAGATAAACGGACCGACGGACGTACTGGCGGACGTACAGACAGACGGACGGTCTGACGGACAGACAGACAGACGGACAAACGGACGGACGGATAGATAGACAGACAGCTAGACAGATTTTTTAAAATTATCTTTATCAGGTAGCCGCCGTGGTGAAGGGCTAGGCGTTATCATGTGTACAGAAAGGTCGTGGGTTCAAATCCAAACGGTGCTGGATTGTTGTTGTTGTTGCTGTGGTGGTCAAAATGATCTTGGCTGCAAAGGTCGACCTAGTGTTAAATCAGTACCAGGTGAAGGTTGAACACATCACCTAGCGAATGCTGATTGGTCTATAATATACAGGGTCTATAATATACAGGTCCTGCCCTATATACCAATTACGCCTGAAGACGTAGAAAACAGTTCTTTGCTTTACTATCACCATCATCATCTTCATCATCATCGTTATCAACGTCCATGTTTGCTGTATCGAAATGAAGAATGGATGTCCATGATGGTGGTGATATTATTATCCATGGCAACTCCTCGTAGATGTATAAGGCCTTTCGTGTCATCAGTTTATCTTCTCCCTGGCGCTCACTTGTTGTCACATCAGTTTATCTTCTCCCTGGCGCTCTCTTGTTGTCACATCAGTTTATCTTCTCTCTGGCGCTCTCTTGTTGTCACATCAGTTCATCTTCTCCCTGGCCCTCTCTTGTTGTCACATCAGTTCATCTTCTCCCTGGCCCTCTCTTGTTGTCACATCAGTTCATCTTCTCCATGGCGCTCTCTTGTTGTCACATCAGTTCATCTTCTCACTGGCCCTCTCTTGTTGTCACATCAGTTCATCTTCTTCCTGGCGCTCTCTTGTTGTCACATCAGTTCATCTTCTCCCTGATGCTCTCTTGTTGTCACATCAGTTCTTCTCCCTGAAGCTCTCTTGCTGTCACATCAGTTCATCTTCTCCCTGGCGCTCTCTTGTTGTCACATCAGTTAATCTTCTCCCTGATGCTCTCTTGTTGTCACATCAGTTCATCTTCTCCCTGGTGCTCTCTTGTTGTCACATCAGTTCATCATCTCACTGGTGCTCTCTTGCTGTAACATCAGTTCCTGTTATGTGTTGTGTCGGTGTTAAAAGTTGTTGTACCTGAATTCTAATGCGATGTAGTAGCCAGGGCAGGGGACTACAGACAGAAAGTTTCCATAATCTGTCTGATAGGACAACAGACAGACAGTTCCCATAATCTGTATTACAATATAAATGCTTATTCGGTTTCGGGTGAATAATTCAGCTATCCTACAATATTTATAAATGTATATGGCAAGGACGCTGGGCTTTCAAGCGAGAGCCCCAGGTTCGAATCCTCGGTAAGACACCGTGTTTATACCATATTTATAGCAGAAATACTTTGTTATCCATGTTATTGTCATTTCAATAAACACGCGCCCCTTGACCCCCACAGGCTTATCTATGGTGTGCTGGCCGGAATCACGATCTGGACACTGGTCGAGCAGGGCAAAAAGGATCTTAGGAATCTGCGGTCATTGCCTGGACTATTCATATTTCTCATCATCTGTTTACTGATGTCGACCCACCCGGCAAAGGTATGTAGGTATCTAGTTATTGATGTCAACCCATCCAGCCAAGGTGAGCTGGTATCTAGTTATTGATGTCAACCCATCCAGCCAGGGTGAGCTGGTATCTAGTTAACTGATGTCGACCCACCCAGCCAAGGTGAGCTGATATCTAGTTACTGATGTCGACCCACCCAGCCAAGGTAAGCGTGTATCTGATGTAGACCCACTCAGTCATAGTAGGCAGCGTAAGCCTTTGATCTGTCCTTGTGAAGAAAGTTTTTGTCGACGATATCCCAGTCGCCTTCTTCTTCATAATCAATGAGTCATGTGGGTGCTTGTATGTGTGAATGTATGATCTTCCCAATGTTTGAGTGCTCTTTGATTCTACAATAAAAGTAACTGAAACAACAGCAGTGGTGGTATCGTAAAAGTAGTAGTAGTGTTAGTAGTAATAGTAAAAGTAGTAAAAAGTAAAGTAAAGTAACTAAAATTTGTTTATGTCTTCAGGTGAATAAGGTATATAGGGCTAGACCTATATTTTATAGACCAATCATGACTCTGTGGTGAATATTATACCGGCCTCCTTTACTTTCCAGGATGTTACCTGCTCCCATGTAAAGCTAGGTCGGCCTGGCCGCTAAAGTATTTTTTTTAAGTCCGGCTTTCTTTATAAAACTCCACGACCTACGGATCTGTAGGCAAGCGTCTAACCTCTACACCACAGCTGCTACAACTAGTAGGACTATGAGTACGGTTATAGTCATAGTAGCAGCGACAGCAGCTGCAGCAGCAGTAGTAGCAGTAATTGTAGTATAGCAGTAGTGCTGGCGATGTTAATGGTAGAATACAACCACAGTGTGATGTTAGAATAGACGGTATCCCGTTAATCCAAGTCGATAATTCAAATATCTGGTTACAACAATCAAACGGAAGAAGTGTGTCAAAAATTACGAGCATAATAGGCCAGGCTAAGGCTGCATTTCACAGGATCAAGAAGATCTTGTGCAACAGGTTCCTCTCTTTTGATGTCCGAAAGAGAGTATTAAAATGTTTAGAAAATATATGCTGTATATTAGTGAATCATGGAATATGAATGCACAAATTAGAACTTGGAAGCGATGGAGATGTGGTTTCTTAGACAAATGTTAAGAATTCCTTGGACTGCCAAGGTAACTAACGAGGATTACTTGAAAAGAGTCAATGAAAGCAGATCAAAATATACAACTATAAGAAAAGCCAAGCACTGTTCTGTGGTCATGTGATGGGAAGGGGGGAGGGGGAGACTTTGGAGTATATTGTGACAACTGAGAAGATCAACGGTGTAAAAGGGAAACACAGGCCGAGAGAGAGAGAGAGAGAGAGAGAGAGAGAGAGAGAGAGAGAGAGAGAGAGAGAGAGAGAGAGAGAGAGAGAGAGAGAAAGAGAGAGAGAGAGATGATGATGATGACGGATGGATTGCGACGGTGACACAGAGGAATATCATCGGTGGAACTCACCAGAGGACCAGAGACTAAGATCTGTGAAAATGCATGAACGCCTACGCCAGTCGACAGGGCACGTCATGATGATGTACTGATATACCCAATGCTTCTGAATATACAACAGAACCAAAGATTTTAGTTACAGTACAACAGACATGTTTCTGTTCACCAATGATTTTAGTTACAGTACAACAGACATGTTTCTGTTCACCAATGATTTTAGTTACAGTACAACAGACATGTTTCTGTTCACCAAACATTTTAGTTACAGTACAACAGACATGTTTCTGTTCACCAAAGATTTTAGTTACAGTACAACAGACATGTTTCTGTTCACCAAACATTTTAGTTACAGTACAACAGACATGTTTCTGTTCACCAAAGATTTTAGTTACAGTACAACAGACATGTTTCTGTTCACCAAACATTTTAGTTACAGTACAACAGACATGTTTCTGTTCACCAAAGATTTTAGTTACAGTACAACAGACATGTTTCTGTTCACCAAAGATTTTAGTTACAGTACAACAGACATGTTTCTGTTCACCAATGATTTTAGTTACAGTACAACAGACATGTTTCTGTTCACCAAACATTTTAGTTACAGTACAACAGACATGTTTCTGTTCACCAAACATTTTAGTTACAGTACAACAGACATGTTTCTGTTCACCAAACATTTTAGTTACAGTACAACAGACATGTTTCTGTTCACCAAAGATTTTAGTTACAGTACAACAGACATGTTTCTGTTCACCAATGATTTTAGTTACAGTACAACAGACATGTTTCTGTTCACCAAAGATTTTAGTTACAGTACAACAGACATGTTTCTGTTCACCAAAGATTTTAGTTACAGTACAACAGACATGTTTCTGTTCACCAATGATTTTAGTTACAGTACAACAGACATGTTTCTGTTCACCAAAGATTTTAGTTACAGTACAACAGACATGTTTCTGTTCACCAAACATTTTAGTTACAGTACAACAGACATGTTTCTGTTCACCAAAGATTTTAGTTACAGTACAACAGACATGTTTCTGTTCACCAAAGATTTTAGTTACAGTACAACAGACATGTTTCTGTTCACCAAACATTTTAGTTACAGTACAACAGACATGTTTTCTGTTCACCAAAAGATTTTAGTTACAGTACAACAGACATGTTTCTGTTCACCAAAGATTTTAGTTACAGTACAACAGACATGTTTTTCTGTTCACCAAACATTTTAGTTTACAGTACAACAGACATGTTTCTGTTCACCAAAGATTTTAGTTACAGTACAACAGACATGTTTCTGTTCACCAAACATTTTAGTTACAGTACAACAGACATGTTTCTGTTCACCAATGATTTTAGTTACAGTACAACAGACATGTTTCTGTTCACCAAAGATTTTAGTTACAGTACAACAGACATGTTTCTGTTTCACCAAACATTTTAGTTACAGTACAACAGACATGTTTCTGTTCACCAAAGATTTTAGTTACAGTACAACAGACATGTTTTCTGTTCACCAAAGATTTTAGTTACAGTACAACAGACATGTTTCTGTTCACCAAACATTTTAGTTACAGTACAACAGACATGTTTCTTGTTCACCAAAGATTTTAGTTACAGTACAACAGACATGTTTCTGTTCACCAAAGATTTTAGTTACAGTACAACAGACATGTTTCTGTTCACCAATGATTTTAGTTTACAGTACAACAGACATTTTTTTCTGTTCACCAAACATTTTTTTTTACAGTACAACAGACATGTTTCTGTTCACCAAAGATTTTAGTTACAGTACAACAGACATGTTTCTGTTCACCAAACATTTTAGTTACAGTACAACAGACATGTTTCTGTTCACCAATGATTTTAGTTACAGTACAACAGACATGTTTCTGTTCACCAAAAATTTTAGTTACAGTACAACAGACATGTTTCTGTTCACCAAACATTTTAGTTACAGTACAACAGACATGTTTCTGTTCACCAATGATTTTAGTTACAGTACAACAGACATGTTTCTGTTCACCAAAGATTTTAGTTACAGTACAACAGACATGTTTCTGTTCACCAAACATTTTAGTTACAGTTCAACAGACATGTTTCTGTTCACCAAAGATTTTAGTTACAGTACAACAGACATGTTTCTGTTCACCAAAGATTTTAGTTACAGTACAACAGACATGTTTCTGTTCACCAAACATTTTAGTTACAGTACAACAGACATGTTTCTGTTCACCAAAGATTTTAGTTACAGTACAACAGACATGTTTCTGTTCACCAAAGATTTTAGTTACAGTACAACAGACATGTTTCTGTTCACCAATGATTTTAGTTACAGTACAACAGACATGTTTCTGTTCACCAAACATTTTAGTTACAGTACAACAGACATGTTTCTGTTCACCAAAGATTTTAGTTACAGTACAACAGACATGTTTCTGTTCACCAAACATTTTAGTTACAGTACAACAGACATGTTTCTGTTCACCAATGATTTTAGTTACAGTACAACAGACATGTTTCTGTTCACCAAACATTTTAGTTACAGTACAACAGACATGTTTCTGTTCACCAAACATTTTTAGTTACAGTACAACAGACATGTTTCTGTTCACCAAACATTTTAGTTACAGTACAACAGACATGTTTTCTGTTCACCAAACATTTTAGTTACAGTACAACAGACATGTTTCTGTTCACCAAACATTTTAGTTACAGTACAACAGACATGTTTCTGTTCACCAAACATTTTAGTTACAGTACAACAGACATGTTTCTGTTCACCAAACATTTTAGTTACAGTACAACAGACATGTTTCTGTTCACCAAAGATTTTAGTTACAGTACAACAGACATGTTTCTGTTCACCAAAGATTTTAGTTACAGTACAACAGACATGTTTCTGTTCACCAATGATTTTAGTTACAGTACAACAGACATGTTTCTGTTCACCAATGATTTTAGTTACAGTACAACAGACATGTTTCTGTTCACCAAAGATTTTAGTTACAGTACAACAGACATGTTTCTGTTCACCAAACATTTTAGTTACAGTACAACAGACATGTTTCTGTTCACCAAAGATTTTAGTTACAGTACAACAGACATGTTTCTGTTTCACCAATGATTTTAGTTTACAGTACAACAGACATGTTTCTGTTCACCAATGATTTTAGTTACAGTACAACAGACATGTTTCTGTTCACCAAAGATTTTAGTTACAGTACAACAGACATGTTTCTGTTCACCAAAGATTTTAGTTACAGTACAACAGACATGTTTCTGTTCACCAATGATTTTAGTTACAGTACAACAGACATGTTACTGTTCACCAGAGATTTTAATTACAGTACAACAGACATGTTTCTGTTCACCAAACATTTTAGTTACAGTACAACAGACATGTTTCTGTTCACCAAAGATTTTAGTTACAGTACAACAGACATGTTTCTGTTCACCAAAGATTTTAGTTACAGTACAACAGACATGTTTCTGTTCACCAAAGATTTTAGTTACAGTACAACAGACATGTTTCTGTTCACCAAAC